CTGTCAATGATGGCAACCGATCCAGATTATCGATGCTGTCCCAGTCGGAAATTTCCGTCTGAAATTATATATTTGTCGTTGGTTTATTTACTTAGCGTCTCAGACAATCTGGCGGAACTGATAAGCGATATCTTAATGATGATGCCGGCTGAGAGCCTCAACAAACAGCGTGCAGGTCATGCTCGAGACAAAATTTGAAATACTCCTATATCTCCTCGACGCTGAAGAAAGCGTTTGAGTAACTTCCCCTAGAATCCAGCTGGATATAAAAAAATATGAAACCTTAAAAACGCAATAACACGGAAACAGGGTGAATAACGGTCGAGGAAATCCTCGACCATGGCTCTCTACTGTGCGAGAGTAGTGTCGAGAGTGAATGTACGCGCGGAGAGCACAGACGGCTCGCGGGTGGCGAGAGTGAATATCCGCGCGGGAGAGCGTGGATACGGACGAAAATCCTCGACAAGCCGTTGCCGTTTCCTCGACCGATTTCCACTCTGCACGGAAGTGACCTCGCCGGAAATCGTAAAACGGCAGAGAACAAATAAAAGTACATATAAATGTGCATATTAAATAATAGCGAGATCCAAAGATGTGGATGTTTAAATAAGATATTCCCGACTGATCTAACCCAATTTTCCATGAAGTTCAGAAATGAAAGTCGTTCTTGCACCCCAAACCAGGGTCAACCGTCCGTTCGCGGTATTCGAACGAGGCGGTCGCTTTTGCGATTTTGGGAAGGGGGAGGGCGCATTTTTGCGTTGAGCAAGGTCAAAACTACCTCTGGAAAAGTGTAAATAGGTTGTACATCGCATTAAGACCCTAAAGGGGGTAGATCGACTCCGTGACTTTCTTAACCCTTCGGAGGCGTGGCTGCGGCGGGCGCGACCGAGTCGGCGGTCACTGTTGTTTGAAAACGCTCCATCAGCACAGCTCCATCAATTTTGGGACCTCAATAAAGAGGGATAGGGTCCCAAAATTTTTGGAAAAGTTGCGGGCGCGACGACTGACCCTGCCCCAAACACTGGTGATTAGAGACGGAAGATGTCACAAATCCACCGTGTGCCTCACAACAACCTCACATAGTAAGTGATTAACACCACAGAATCGCTCATAAATTTTTCTAATGACCAAAGATCAAGCCATTTGTTTTGTACCGGATCGTTTCCGCAATTTCTTCGTGATATGCGATGTTTCTAAGCAAACAGAAATGTTGTGTATTTACCTTGGCGAGATTCAACGATTCGAGTGTCGTCAGTTCATCGTTGGACGGCTGATGTGCGACTTTTTTTATCGGATTCTCACAAAGAAACACCGTCTTACGACTGGGAAATCGATGCATCAGACGAACGATTAGACCCCAATCATCAATACGACACCTGCAACAACACACAGCAAAAATTCGAGCTATCTGTCAGACATCAGTCTCATGACGGCTGAAATCCGAAAGAGATTCCCTCTAGCACGCTGTCAGCTGAGTGTAATAGAAAATTAGAGGGCGGAAAAACAGCTAAGTAAGAAAGAAGGACGGAAGTGTGTAACGAACCGGTATGAGGTCGTACCTGTTCAAGTGGATTGTCTTCACCGTCTCGTTCATCGGTGACATGTCATCAGACGAAAGATCAAGTTTATTGTCTGACAGATGCAATTCTTGCAATGAGGGGGTGTTTTTCAGGATTACTGACAGTGAATCGAGTGAAAGATTTGTTCCATTCAAAATCAGTGTGTGTAATAGTGGAGCCGGCGGCAGGTCAACGGCAATCTGAAACAACAACAAAAAAATCCCACGACTCGCAAGTTAGACAAGCACTCTTGAAAAATATGTTATGATGCCCTTCAAAGCTGAGAAAACTCATACTTGCCCTTAATAAACCGAAGGAAGCTGAAGAGGGGAAGTCCAGGCGCAATCGCAAGATACGGGGTCATTCCCAGGACTAAGCCTAGCAGGGGCAGGAATTTCGGTAAAAATCTGAACTTGTCACGCTCTGTGGAGCCTTTCTCACCTAAAGGTTGGACTTTGATTTTAACAAGAATGAGATGTTTAACGCGGTTTTAAATGCACTGCCACCACAATGCCCCCGTATCTTGCGATAGCGCCAAGTCCATTTGCCCTGGTATTCTAAGCCGAGGTGATTTATCGTTTCGTCGACTCCTCCATATGTTTTCATTCATGACATTAAAGAATGTCCCACCAACAAGTCCATATAGTGACAGATAGCGGCACATTCAGGCATAACTCAGGAAAGGGCGCTGTGCCTCAATTTGAGTGCAATACTTGTTAAGAAGCACTACATGGCGCGTTACGGGAAGCCGTAATCCAATATGCCTTTCGTTCCTTCGTCTTCGCACTTTTTCAAATACCCCTCTCCCTTGGCCTTTCAAGGAATTGCGCAAGGTTTTTGTCGTCAACACCTAGCCCCAGCAACCAGATCCCGTTCCGAACTCAAACTTCCACACCCATTAACCTAAGTTCCATCTATGGTGAGCCAAACAACATAGTACTTGAACCACTGAGTTTTTCCTAAGCCGTAAGGGATCTGCATCATTGCCTTTGCCATTACTTTTACTAAGGGAATGGCATTCGGTGCAACAGTTCGCATCGCCTACAGTAATCCCAATTTTTGCAGGTGGAGGAAGCTGGGGTGGGTAAACTACCCTGCAGGAAGGGAACTACGCGAGCATTACTCGTTCCAACGATCGTAGGGCCTCATGGGCCTTATCCAGTGAGAAAGGGGCATCTGAGCGATTGTTCATATCCATGAAGTAACCAACTTTTTTCAGAGGAGGGAAGCTCCGAGGTGGGTGTAAAAGTTTAAGCGAAATGGTTCACGCACCCCGGGGATTCCCTCCCCTTGCAAAAATTGGAATTTCTGTAGCCGGCAAGAACTGTCACATAACATTTCCCCTTACTGGATAAGATCCTCATTGTAATATAAGCAAATGTTCATCGTGGTTTTGAATGCTTTCGGCAGTCTGTCCAAAATGCCCCCTCCCTCCTGCCCTTCAACCCTGAATTCAACCCATAACAGTTCCTAAAATGCAGAGGCCGGACCACCGCGGAATCCATTACCAAATGTAGTTGAATGTTCCGGCACACAAATGCAACTGGATAATTAAACGCTCCATAGAAAGCCAGAAAACGATATGACTCGCCTGGCACAATAGCGGCATAGAGAGAGGAGAGAGAGAAAAGAAAAAAGTCGTGAGGTCAAAGACTGATTTGCATATTCACCTCATCATCCAACGGGTTATAACTGAGGTTTAGTGTACGCAGCCGTGGTAGGTGTTTAAGCAAAGCCACCACACAATCCCATCGTATCCTATTCCAGGCAAGATCGGCCTTGAATAAATTATAGAAATACATTGAAATAAAGGTGATCAAACAGAAATATCGATCTATGATCGAAAAATGATTCGAGAGATTTGGAAGTTGTGAACATGTTATACCTCAGCGACATGCTGCATGAGCGTTGAAACCTGTGTGACATCACCCAAATGTGAAATATTGGCATTGTTCAGCACGACCAATTCGAGAGCACGTTTACTGGCCATCTTACATGGTGAGCTCCCAGTCTGAAGAGATTTTCCACAATGAAAACGATGTCAACATGCAGTCACGTGTGTGACTGTGTGTTTAGACCACATTATGCTTGCTTAGAGCTGCTAACGATAGGCCTAAGTGTGACCAGTAAGCATTTTAGCAATAAACAGGTCCCTGAGCTTTATCTGAAGCACGGATCAAATACATCAGTCTAGCCGGAAGATCTAATTAGCAACGATCAAGTCACGCATGATGACGGCATCTGATAGGTGCGCCGCCGTAGTGCAGGCGCCCCTTAGTGGCAATTAAATATCCATTAGCGAGCACAAAATATCCCAATTTTTCCACAAGACGAAATATGAATGAACTGAAGACTGAAAAGCACGACAAGGAATTGATCAGCTATTTTTAACGCCAAAGAAACGGATTTTACGTGATGAAGTCCACTGATACACATAGGGAAAGCATCAGTAGAACTTACAAAATTAGTGAGCACAAGATCTTGATCCATGTAGGCGTCGTCATCGTCCAGGTACTTCTGCTCGAGTTTGTAAACGAGCGAGCACATCTCTTCCTCCATGACAGCAATCAGCTGAGTGCGACGAAACGCGTCGCGTGTGAAGCACGCGATGCGGCTCGTTTTACTTCCCGCCCACATCGTCGTCAACGTGCTGCCACCGACCGCCTTCAATGAACTTGCGGATTTGTGCAGAGTGCAGATCCGTTCCCTGGTCGCCCGTCGAGGGCTATAATGAGAGCCACTTTCTCAGCGTTGTGCGCGAAACGTTCGAGATAAAAGTGCCCTTTCCCGGTCACTTACAACCGAAAGAACTCTTAACAGTTTCTTTTTCACCACGTTCGACTCTCGATGAACCTCGGCATATTATGGTGATCGGTGTAGTTTTGTTAAAGTGCACGCGATAGTTTATTGGCTAACGTTTCGGCGAATTTGTCTTCTTCGGAGCAAATGGATGGTATTCGAGTTTATGAGTATCCAACCAGGGTCAACCCTACGTTGTTACGAGTAACAACGGGGGGGGGTCGTACCTGGTTGAGTTTGTAGGAGGGGGGGTCGTACCCACTTTAGTCGCTCGAAATCACGTGTGGGATTGAGGTGAAACTAAGATTTCGTGGGTAGTAGGCTGGGCGAGTGGAGGGCGCAGGATAAAAATTTGCCGTTTCAGCGGGCGTATACCCCCCTAGAAAAGGAAGTAGTGGGAGTATAGGTAAAAAATGGGTAAAAATGGGTTGAAATGGTGGAAATAGAAGGAAATTTTCGGAGATATTTACCGTTTCAGAGTGACTATATACCCCCCCCCCCGCTCGACGGCATTTTTGGAGGAAAAAGTGGGCGGGGTTTTGATGGAAGATGGAGATGGTGGAGGTAGGGAAAAGGGGGTCGTATCAAATCCACGTTGGGGGAGGGGAAGCCAGCTTATATGGGAAGCTGGAACTCCCGTGTAATTGATAGGCATTCTTCCCTCCGGTTTCGTGTACTTTTTCAGTTTCGAAGTAATAATCACAAAAAAAATTTTCGTTGAGTTCCTTGAGGTGGTCTGACATTACGTGGACTGTTTCAACCCAAATCTGGAGTAGAAGCAGCTTCAAAAGTCACCTTATCGTAATTGCACCGTTTGTGAGTGGAAGCGCTCTCATGGTCAGTAACGAAACTAAGCTAGGCTGACTAGGTGTCGAGGGAATTCGACACCTCTTCAGGTTTAATGCGACCACACCTCCAGTTGTGGTTCCACAAATCACCTCTGCCTTCAGGTCCCACTCCCATGCTCTTGAAATGATACCTGACTTTCTCTAGAAAATCCTCGTCAAGCGAGAAGGATATAGAAAGAAACGGAGAAATCGAAAAATTCCAAATTTCACAAAATTCGTTAGATTTCCCTTGAAAAAAGTCGTAAGACGCAAGGACATTGTAGTGGCAATGCCCTTTCAACAACGTAAAACATCTCCATTTTTCAAAAACAGAACTAAGTATCAGGCGGGGAAGGAAGGGCACCTGAGCAATTTTCTCTTTCCCCAATGGTCCAGCTCCCTCCTTGTATTAGTCAAAGAACATGCCCCCGTGTCTTCCCATAGCGTCAAAATTAATGAATCTTCCCAAAAGTCCCTGTAATCTATATAAAAGCTTTTCGAAATGCGCTGCCGATTTCACCCAGTGCTATCCATGCCCCAGAAGGCCAAATACGACCTTCTGTGAGAAAGGCTAGACGTTGGTTCACCCTGTGCTAAACTCTCGGCCTCTCAAAACCAGCTAATTGACACTGAATTTTAGTGCACGTCTGGAACGCGATTAACACCACCCGCATGTGATCAAATAGTTAGTTGTTGGCCATGCTTGAAAATGTGCCCACAAATTTTAATGGAATTTGAAGGCATTGGCGCTGTAAGCGGTATCACTTAGTCGTCTTTGCTGTCTTTCTGCTTTTCTGTGCACCAAGCACTTTATTGGAATTTTTTCGTAAACATTCTTATGAATGTACAAACCTGGAGGTGAACTTTCAGGGCACTGCCAACGATTTTCTCCAATACTCTCCCCTCACCCATATTCCGCTCTTACTCCTTACCTTGAGCCCCTTATAATGATGCCTCACTGAAGTTACGTCTTTTATGAAAATCATTTAGGCGACGCTCCCTTTCTGCTTGAACGGGACCACGGGACCAGAGTCAGTCGAGCGTAGGAAAAAAAATTGAAAGTAGCCGGCCTTTCTCTTAAGGAGTCCCACCGACCCCCCCCCCCCCACCAGCGATGGTGTCTACAGTGTGTCATTGAACGTGGCTCATACATCAGAACTCTGCTTTCCCTGATTTCAAAACTCCATCGAGCAAGGGAGGGGAGTGGGAATAAAGGTTGAGCACAAATAAATCAAAGGCAACAAAATTTGGTGGCATTATTTACCCAATGTCTCACTTCTCGAGAACTGAGCCGGATTCTAATCGAAATTGGTTCATGACTGTGGATTTGGCTAGAAACTTGCCTTCAGGGGTAATTTGACCCGTAGAACACGAATATTGCTTCGGTTTGGCGCGAAAACGCTTGGCGTACGCGCCACAGGCGCCGGCGCCAACACAACAGTTTTGCATCGGCGCCTGTGGCGTAGGCTACAACCTCACACTCCCAAAGAACTAATGTAATGTTGCATGTTCTACGGGTCGGGCTGCTCTGGCGACAAATTTCCAGCAAGTCTGGTGTTGAAGGTGTTGTGGCGCTCCGCGAGTTCCATGCGTTTTCGCGCAAAACGAAGAACGTATCCGTGTTCTACGAGTTACCCCCGAGGGCAGTTCTCTGGTCAATTACACAGCTGGACAAATTTCGATCGAAGTTTGGCTCAGTTTCCAGGAGTGGGGCAGTGAAGGATAAATTGTTCCTGAAATTTTTCCAAATTTCTCAAAATATCGTTACACTTTCCCGACTTCTGAAGCTTCTATAACTTCTTCTCCATTTCTCTTCAAGATTACATTCTTTAAAATCACAAAATACTATTATTGGGAAAATCTCGACAGACAGTTGATATTGCACAACCCCCCTCCCCCCCCCAGAAATTTTGCTATCATTACATGGCGACTACCGTAATAGAACCTTTGAAGTTCCTTCTCACAAGGGAAGGATCCCAGGTCGAAGTGGCCATTCGTAATGAAACCTATACTCACAGACGTGTTTTCGGACGCTGATCTCAAATCCGTCTCCAAATTTGCGGAACGATTCTCTGAACAGAGTTACGGAAGGTTTCAAAT